AGTCTTCGGACTAGACTTAAACAGAACAGCACAATGCATAGAATCCCACTTTAGAATTACGGATATATACATCCGGGACACTTAACGTTAAAGTTGAACGAAACGGATATACACTGGCAGCAATAATGGGGTTAATTAGCGAGTTGAGTTTCTGATAGAAAATTGGAGAAGACTAATTAATGAAGATTTACTAAATTAATGCAAATATTTAAATTAACTTGAATTATACTAGATCAAGCCAATTAATTTGCTACAGACATTCGTTATCATATAACAAGTCAATTTGCTTAGCTTAGGCAAATTAAAGTAATGAGCTTTAAAAAATTAATACAAATATTCAAATTAATTTCTAATTTTGTAAGGGGAATTTTTACTTTTTTTGCATTTAAGTAAATGCGAAAAATAGTTGTTTATTTTGTAATGAATTAACTTATTAAAAACCCAGCCAGTGAAATTATTATAAGTGCACCTTTTTTTCAAATACACTGCTGGCCACCGTAAATGCAACACCAAGAAAGACAAGAGATAGCACAATAAAATTTATTTCGTAGATAACATGTTGACCCAGTATCAAACGATTAAATTTATAGACTTCTGTGAAGTGTGGTTCCTGCCAGAATCAGTAGCCAGAGTAGCCGCCATTATTGGAGATCACGCCTCGGCATTGATTCAAAGAGACTTTGGATGTGTTTTTGGGGTACAGCAGACAAGCAGCTTCCACACGTTGATCTGGTGTGGCAGCTGAGGGTGTAATCTGGGTCAATCATTGAGCAACCATTCGACCACATGTTTTCTATCGGTGAAAGATCCGGTGAGCGATCCGGCCAGGGAAGCAATACAATCTGGTGTTCACGAAGAACCTTTGGACAATGCGTGCCACGTATGTTCGCGCATTATCCTGTTGAAATAGGGCTGTGACCAAGCCCTGAAGGTAAGGAAGGACAACTCGCTCCAACACCTCGGACATGTAGCGCTGGCTGTTTAAAGTACCGTCAATGTGTACTAGAGGAGTACGAGAGTGATATCCAATACCGCCCCATACCATAATAACCGGTGCAGGACTAGTGTGGTGGTGCATAACGCAGCTGTTCAGCATCCTCTCTCAACGGTGTCTCCAGACTCGAATCCGACTATCGTGGTGTTGTAGACAGATGCGTGACTCGTAAGTAAAGACAACTTTATTCCAATCTGCCACCCACATCCTTCTTTCATCGCACCATTGGCGGCGGAGACATCTGTGGTTCTGCGTCAAGGGTAAACCAAGCAATGAACGTCTTGCGGACAGACCACTCTACTGTAAACGGCGTCGAATGGTACGAGCAGACACTGAATAAGGCGTTACAGACTCACTGTGCTGTGCTATGGTTCGTGATGTGACTGAGCGATCCGTCACTGCCATGCGTACAATTCGCCTGTCCTCACGTGAAGTGGTGCACTGAGGTGGATGCGATTGACCACATCGGTCCGTCGTTCCCTCCTGCATCCAACGGTCACTATTCCGCATTACAGTTGTTAGGTTTCATCCAACACGACTACCGATTTCTCTGAAAGATAATCCACAATCTCGGTGGGCCACTATCCTTCCTCTGTCTAACTCGGATACTTGATCAAAAGCTGATCGCTGTTTTCTACGAGACATAACTGATCGTTTTTTTGAAAAAACCACAAGAAAAACACAATTGCCGAACTTGAAATCGTCGAAATCTCCAAACCTTAAATAGCACTTTGAGGTGGCGCTACAAGCGTGCGTGATGTGTGTCCGCGCTGAAATTCTAATCATTCGCATATCTCACCTCCGCTAATGCATATTGTAAATTTCATGTTATTTGCGTGCTTTCCTTCAGGGTGTTGCATTTACGGTGGCCAGCAGTGTAGTAGAATATATCAGATACTTAGGCTATCAGACTGTTGCAGACGAAACCCTTTTCCAAAATCATCCATTTTCATATGCTCTTTTAAGAAATACTTTAGCCTTTTAGTCATGTCTAGGCCAGACTTAAAGTCATGGACACACAAAGAGTTTATATATTGAAAGGAAAATTTAAGGACCCTTACTTTAGAAACTTTATTAGCCTGGGAATATATCATGATTTTCACAGCTGGCAACATTAGTAGAATCGTAGAATTACTTTCATAATTCTGACAAAAACCTTGATTTAAAATCAAACTATACGGCAATTTTTTTAAAAAAAATAAAATATAGTCTTCTTTCCTTGCAGGTGTTTATGATTTACTAAGTCCTTCTTTTATCTGCTGTAATGTAGTTTTAAAAGACACTTTTACATCAAATTTGATCAAACACTTATGAATAAAAATGCAATTTACATGAATTGTTTTGCACCTGTTTAGTAGTAAGTCGTGTTTAAATCAGCAACTCAAAGTAAGTGCCAGTGGTGAACGCTGATTATATGGAATTTAGATTGACAAAATTGTTTTCTTAATGTTTTACAAATGCTAATTGGGTAAATTTAAAGTCATTGGTGAAAATAAATAAAATATAAATAAATGTGGTTGTGCAACACTTGCAAGCAACTGAACGCTTTAACCTTTTTTAAAAAATAAAATGGATTTTAAAAAAAGTATTGTGTTTAACACGTTGAAAGTAGTATTGGGTTGAAAAGTAACTATGTTGAAAAACCAACTGTATTAAAAAAGTCCTCTGTCCATCAATAACAAAAAAAATACAAATAAAAGAAAAATTTTACTAAATTGAACTTTATCTCTCACATGCGTTAAACATATAATACTCTTAAGGCCCATGAATTTGTAATAGATAGGTTAAAAAAAAAGGATTTACCTTTTCTTTTTATTATTAACACGCTTTTATAAGTTTCACTTGTGCATGTAACGGAATCTTTACCCACTCTCGATTTTTACCCACTTTGAAAGATCGGATTAATTCGAAATTTTGCACACTTGTCACAGACCGATGACCAATACAATAATTTCATAATTTTGTGTCTTAGTCTTTATCAGGATAGTCAGGAATAACGATAATCAGATTTGGCGACAATTCCATATACCACTTCCAGATTTGGAAACTTATTGCAAATACAATTTTCAAATTCGGTGACATATTCCGTACACCATTTCCAGATTTGGCGATTAATTCCATTTTCCATTTCCAGATTTGGCGATTAAAAGAATAAGGTGTAGCACTAAAGCGACTGTTTTCAATTTGAAGCTAATTATATGCAATTGTAAAATATACTTATAGTTTACACAAGTAAAACAAACAAAAACAAGAAAAGTATAATTTATGTGAGAAAGTGTAGGGTGGGTGGGTGTTAGCAATTTCTAACCATAATATAAACATTTTTCTGAAGATGAAAACTAAAAAAAGGGCTCGTGCATGTGAAAAAAAAATTTATCTTCTAACTGCTAAATATTTTCTTATTTTTACAAAGCAATACGTTTAGAAGTGATGATACGAATTAACATTATAGCAATACGTTTAAAAGGGGTAATACGATTGACACTTACTATTATCATGCTTTTATTAACTCGCTTTCTTGAATGTCTGCCCGGGTGGAATTTTGTAATTGATTAAACTGTGTGATTTTCCGATGAGTTACAGATTAGAAATTTGGACCATAGCTCAGAAGTAGATGACAATGCATAAAACTGTGAAAAAAGAAAGGGAAAAAAAACGAAAGGAGGAGTTTTCTACTTTTTAGTCCGTTATAAAAACATGGTACATTAAATTTTTTTAATTCGAACTTTTTCAACTTAACAAACTTTCAATTGTTTGACCTGTTCTCTTGAGACGGAATCTAATATAACGATACATGACTCATCCGAGGCCCCATAAACGCAGAGAATAAATACACTTCAAACCCTTTAATTAATATCCAATGAAGAGCAAGACTAATTCCAGCAGTTACGTAATTCCGGCTCCAAATATCGAACTCAAGGAAAAATTCACCAATAAATAAATGATAGTTTAAAAAACTAAAAAACTGGCTTTTATTGTATATCGAACTAAAAAATGAAAAATAAATAAAAGTTTTAAAAGAACTAAAGAACACGCTTTTATACTGATTCTAACAAAAAAATAAAAATAATAATTCTGATTATAAGAATAAAATGATGAACGAGAAAATTAATGTCATTGGGGTAAAAGCGTGGGGTGCTTTGTAGTACATTTTAAACTAACTCAGCATTTTGGAATAGAAGTTAGAAACTATAACAATTGATATATTTAAAGAACACCCCACTTTTTACCCCAATGACATTAATTTTCTCGTTCATCATTTTATTCTTATATATTGAGAATTATTTCTTTATTTTTTTGTTCGAATCAGTATAAAAGCGTATTCCTTAGTTCTTTTAAACTTTTATTTTTTTTAAATATTTTAAACCGTCCGCGACAGGACTCGAACCTGCAATCTTCTGATTCGAAGTCAGACGCCTTATCCATTAGGCCACGCGGACTCTGTAAACAGGTTGTTACTAATCCACACATTCAAAATAAATTCTGCTGGATTTTTTAAAATCTTCTCTGAATTGTGGTGATGGTATTTTAATGATTAAAAGTATTTGATTGAAGATTTTTTTTTCTTGATTTACCTCAATTTTTATCTTTAATTAGCAAATATGATAAGAAACCCCACATGCAGGTTTTTAATAATTTTAAATTTTTTCTATTGTGTTAAGTTTATAAGAAATTTTATAAAAAGAGATATATTTATTTTTTTATTAATTTATTTGATTATGTTAGTAACCTTTCCCGTTGTAAGTAATTAGAAGGCATTTATATGAATCTTAATAAATATTGAATATTTTCATTTTTATATAAAAAGTAGGGCATTTCTTCAAAATTAATGTTGAATAAATATAAAAATAATATGGTGGCAATCAAATCACTACGCAAATATAAACAAAACACATTTAATTAAAATTAAATGATCCTCATTCCATATCCAATGAAAGAATTGATATTTGAGAGCGAGATTATAAAATAAAAAAAATTAGTGAGAAGCAATATGAAAGAGAAGTATTGTTGGTGACAAGACTCGAACTTGTAATCTGCAGATTCGAAGTCAGACACCTTATCCGTTAGGCCACGCGGACTCGCTGTAATTGTGTTCCATTTACTAACATAAATAGGCTAAATGTGTAAATGAGAGAAGGTTCCTCCTTTCGTATTGTTTCAAAGCATGGGTTGTTCTTTAAATATATCAATTGTTATAGTTTCTATTCCAAAATGCTGAGTTATTGTAAAAGAATAGAACAAAGCACCCCATGCTTTTACCTCAAAGACTATAATTTTCTAGTTCATCATTTTATTCTTGAAAAAGAATTATTTTTAAATTTTTAGTTCGAATCAGTATAAAAGCGTGTTTTTTAGGGGTTTTTTTAAAACTATAATTTATTAATAAGTAAAAGTAGCTTATAATAAATATCCATTCTATGTAACAGGAAGGGGAATTCAGCCAGGGGAAAGATGATTTGGAATAGGAAATGGAGTTAAAAATTCATTTTGGCATGGTTGGTTGTTTTGCTTGGTGGAACAAAAAATATCTTAATTGAATTATAAACATTTTGTAAAAAGCGTGTTTTCAGAATCAGTCCGTCAAAAAAAGTGGATTAATCATTAATCGACTGTATTGGTGGAAAAATTCGGTTTTAAGAAAATTTAAAAAGTTCCTTTTTGAAATTTGAAAGTTTCCTTATGAACATTTTACGATTAATATTCAGGTAAAACTAATTCAGAATAATTAAAAATCGTCAAATTTTAGAATCTTTCAAAACATTTTTCACAATAACACAGCAAGTTTTTTTTATATTGCAACCATACTGTGTGAGTGCTTGTTTGCTTGCCTATGTATATAGCATAGTATAATACATTTGTTTTCTAATTTTTCTACATAAAGATGCTTTTTTTGACAGAATAATACAAAATTTGTAATACTGTTTTCCAATTTTGTACAAAATGTAATGTATACAGTTTCAAATAATTGTGTGAGTATTTGGTGTATCATTTTAAGACATAAGGCTTGTTTCTACTGTGATAATAAAATTAATAATTCATAACTTATATAGCCGCATTAGTTAAAATTTTCATTGTTTTTTATTGAAGCCCTTTCATTAATGTAATACGAAGTTTTATATTAGGACAGTAACTACTTTTATATTTCTAGAAACTTAGCTATTAAATCAAACGTTATTAGCATTTCTATATTTATTGAAATATAACATATTTTAAGATTTAAAATAATGAAGAAATGTGTTAGGGATGTATCTATATAATTAATTGATTAAGCAAATAAATCACGCTAACATATACTGACAATACCTTTATGTTTAATTAGAAATAGTTTTAATTGGTCATATTGATAATAAATTAAAATAACTTTTAATTGGGGCCGGGGTAGCCTAGTGGGTAGAGCATCGGACTACAGACCGGAAGGCCTAGGCTCGATACCACCAAATATCCGCCAAGTACACACGGAGAACCTGCTCGTTCAATCAGTGGGTCCGAATGGTGTCGCCATCTATCGTGTTGCGTGAGCAAAATAGTACTGTCACTTTCATGGGTGCTCGAAGCTTAGCCTAACGACAGGCGTAAATCTAGCCGTTGCCATGATGAATTTCGTGGGCCCGATATGACTACGTCAGACAGGTGGCATTAGTAACAACAACAACTTTTAAAGGGATTGTATGAGAAATTCTTTCATAAGAAATATTTACTACTATCTATTTAGCTTACAGTATTTTTTAAAAGAGAAACAAAATTGAATAATTTACATAGTTTAAAAAGTTCTGTATAAACTTCAGATATTAGTCATTCACAAGAATTTTAAAAAAATTTGGAGAGGGAATGTAACACTCAAGAGAAATTTGGAGTTTGAAAAAGTTTTAAACTACTACTTCAACGAGAAATTCATTTTCAGTGTGGAAAGTGTACGTACATTTTGACTTACTTCTGCAAAGATAAGTCTATATTTTCACTATAAGTTGAATACCCACAAATTCCCATCTCTGCATGTTTCGAGAAATAAAATATGAAGGAAATTAAGATTTCTAGAAAACATCCCATTTTGCAAATCCATCATATAAAAAAGAGAGAGGGTTGAACCCCTCTAATCTCAACCATTATTAATAAATCTGTCTAATCAAGCTTCCCCTAACTTCTCTACGTCGACATACGTATACGGGAGTGTTTATTACACTTGTACTTATAACCTTCGTATACCATTATTCGAGTAGAAATAAAAAGTTTAAAAAAACCAATCATTTTCCAAGGGTAAGAAGGATCATCTGAATAGACCTGAGGGACGGAGTTTTCGTCTTTTCCTAGGTGGAGGAAATTACCATCGGTTAGAAAAGAAAAAGATTTGACTCGGACAAGGAGGAATTTGGATTAGTTAAAGGTTAGTCTGTTTAATTTCTGTCTGTTTGTTATGCATTTTTTAGTCTTTCTAATCTCACAATTGCACCATAAGACGAACTAATTACACATATATGGGAAGATAACTAGGTAACTGACTATTAATGTTGCCATAGAATACCGAACAACAACTTCAAATTTTTGTTTAATTGTCAGTATTCTGAAATTGACAGGGGTTTTATCTAGAATTTTTAAATTGTACAAAAAATTGTTTTATTTGAAGAATCTTGTTTCAAAAAAGAGTTTATAGAATTCATACAACATTTAAAGGCGTTACTTAACGTAAATGTGTTAAAATGTATGTCCAGTTTATGAACATAGGTATCATTTTAAAAGTAAATTTAATTTTTAAAATATCTCCTTGTTTCTTTATACATGTTGTTATTACTAATACTATTCAATCGATGGTGTCAGATTGTGACCCACGAAATTCGTCTTCGTAATACATATGCATGGTCGTGCGTAACACCCATCGGAGTTAGAAAGTGTTGCAGAATAGAACAAACAATAGTTGATAGAAGGTGAGTTTTCCTCTTATATACTTCTCACCATAATTTTACACAGGAAGTAAGGAAATTTAGGAGTTCTTATGGCAGTTAATCCAACTAGTTTGGCAACTCTGTTTTCAGGCCTTGGATGAGACGAATTGCAAGTTGCAATTGGATGCTTCCCTGCAGCCTCCCACGCATGTTCTGAAATAAGGTCTGGAGATCTGACTGGCCAATTCATCTGGCAAACATCCTCACTTTTCAGAAATTCATCGACTAGATGAGCTCTATGTGGCTTCGTGACGTCATAATTTTAAAAAATCAGGACTGACTGCACTCGTTAAAAAGCTAACATAGGGCAGTATCCCATCTTCCTTATGGCCACATTAGTCATATTGTTTCTTTTAAAGACACGGAGGTTTGTGAGGGAATCAAAACTTATGTCTTCCCAGATCATCAAACACCCGCTGCTGTAAAGTTCGATTTCTTGGACATTGGAGGGTGGGGAGTAGGTCCCTGATTTTTTCTATGGGATAGTACGGCTAGAATCACTGGTAATGCTGACTGACTCATCAGTGAAGACTGTCCATTGATGAGTCAGTGAGCATTACCATAGAGATTGGAACATCCATGTTCCAATCTCTATGATCTCTTCGCCATTTTAAGTGGGTTATCCTGTTCGCAAATTAGGAGGGCAACAAACAATAAGTCATCTTAAAAACAGATCTCGTTCACATGAAGACTTTTGAAAACAGACACCCTCGAAACTTAGGTTCCTGTTGCTACGTTCAACTCACGAGAGAGCTGAAAAGCTGAAGTATCCCTGTTATACCTCGGTATAATGGTCAAATGGTAATCTTTTCTGCTCGCCGAAGCCCTTAGACAACCTTGTCCAGGCTTTCTCTCGACGGATCCGGTATTGTGAAACTATTTCCTTAAGTTCAACACGATGCTGCGCGATAAATTGGATTCTCTACAATTGTAGATTTGAGACTGACCTGTGGCTGCGGTAGCCAAGTGGTCTAGGCATCGGATCATGGTTAGCGTGTCATGAGCTCGATCCCAGTACCACTAAAGACCCGTCGTGTAGGGGAGCGATGCACGTTAAATCTGTCGAGAGCTCAAACATCCTCCCGTTGGTGTGGTAGTTAGGAGAAGGGGTGCCAGCTCAGGTGTCACCCGCATCACTTGACCATGGTTCAAAATTACGCGGACCGTCCCCAAAGCCCTCGTGTAGCTGAACAGTGGAACGTTAATATTCACTCACTCACCCTCAGGGCATCATCTCAGCTGTCACTACCAGTTTCATCTTCATTCCATGAACGCATTACCCCTTTCAGCAAAACACACAGTGAGATTTTATTAATTATAGAACGCACTATTAATAATGGCATCAATGAAAACGAAATAACAAATGTATACTTTGCAAAATATTTTAAATAATACGAGATTAATTGAAAAAGTTGTTGAAAGGCTGTAACACTATTTGTGTCTTTTAAATATGAGGATGATTGAGAATGAGTAAAAAATTAAAAGTGGCGTGTTGGTTCATTAGCTCATATCGCGATTGGCTTTTCTATTGTTTCGTTTGTAAGGAACTATGTTCTGCACCTTAGTTAAATATCAACTCTTTAATAGAAATTTTCCTATAGTGTAAATTTTGTATGCTGTTATATAAATTTTTAAAAGGTGAATTTTGTTTTGTTTGTTTATGCTTCTCTCTCTCTTATATTCACAAAGGAGAACACTTATTGTTCAAATTTTGCGAATGGCGATAAATTTTATTGACTTAAAATCTGGAATATTTTCACCTTTCTTTATAAATGCACCAGATTTTTCCACTGCCGATGTGATATAAGTTAGGGACGCATATCACGTGTCTCTGGTGTGTATGGGGGGGGGGGACATATTTAAAGATTTGAATACAATTATTCGTTGCTTAGTTGAGGGGTGGGGGCATGTTTCAATGAACTCTAAAAAAAGTCTTTATAATCTTATTTAAAAAGTTAAAGGTGCACACTTAGAAATCATTCAGTGGAAGTGCAAATTGATAGATATCCAAGAGTAGCTGTGATCTCTTTCTTAGTATAACTAGGTCATGTGACCTCTCAGATGCAAATCTTAAGATGGATGGCTAAAAAAAAAAACGGGGAGAGAGGAATTTCTGTTTGATTTTCGGTATGAATAT